TAGTAGTAGTAGTAGTAGTAGTAGTAGTAGTAGTAGTAGTAGTAGTATACAGCCATGTTGAAACTATGATTGAATGAACAAGTTTGTCAGAAAGAGCTATACTATGTGATATGTTTGTTTTTAGTGACCCTCTTTTGTTTTCTATGGTTTTCTCACATGTAACCTTTTCTAATTGTGAAGTAGTCGTTAGAAAGACATTGCAGAACCAGTATGTGCCTTCTGTTTCCAGAACACACACATATAACTATATTTCACAGTTCAACCCAATGCCACTCGCTTTGCTCCAATGGAAACTGTGGTTATGTCCTCGCAACGGCCGCTTTTCTTGAGCCAACGGCACGTCACATCGGTGCGGATGGTCCACCGCAAACTTGGTACACTTCTCAAAAGAAAACGGAGTGGAACTCTCACGTGCCCCCAAAAGAGTATACACGAAGCCCGGGTTCTTCGCAATTCATTGCAGGTAGATCATCTCCAGACTCCAATGACTTCCAACCTTTTTTGAAGTGTCTACCTAATAAGACGGCGGTGGTCCGCATGGTTGCTGTAATTCCCAAAAAACAATGATGCCAACAAGGAAGTTGTTGTGAGGTTTGCGCCTTGTTAGTATGCATGACTCTTCAGACCACAGGTGTTGGCAGGGTGGGCAGACTCCCTCACTTATTGCCATCAAACACCACCTGCACCACCTACACCACGACTCGGCAGAAAACGCACCACCACATGGCGAGCCCGCAGTCCGAGCGGCCGGCAGGCGGGTTTCGATGGTCCTGAATGGTTTCACTTGAAGGGTTTCGCCCAATTCTAGCCGATGGTTGTTAGTTGTGTGGTGTTTTCCCAGAGGTTGGTCGATGATTGGGATTGTCTATAAGTTTTATTTCCGTGATGGTTTGTTTTTCCTTTTGGAGACACTTCATTTATAACTACATTATAAAGCAACAGTGGGCCAATCCAAGGGTTCAATGCAGAAATCTTCCATACAAGAAAGCTTGGGCAGTGTTCTTCATTGATGGGCGTGTGGTGCATTTGATGTTGATGGTGCTCGTTTCCTTTTAGTGGCTGGTGTGATCAATGTTCGTCCGTTTTATGATTTGTTTGTTGCACCACGAAGCCATTTCTCAGAGGTCCCCAATCCATATTCAAAAAAGACAACGACCAATCTCATGTTTCGCTGCTGAACACTGTGTTTGTTGGATTAGGACCTTCACAGAGTTGCTTTGTTTTGACCTTGGGTGACTCAGGGATGATGGCTTCTCTCGTACCTGTAACTGCATATGATACAAACCAAGCCTGCAGTTGGCTCAGAGTTATTTCAGTGGATTTACAACCTCCTCTCATAAGGTGGCAAGTCCAAGTATGTACATCTATGTACTTGTTGGAGGTTTCTTGAACTCCATTCAGTTTGTGCCTTTGCGCTGATGGAGCGACATCAAAGTCAAAGTCAAACGCATCAAACAAATGATTGGGGTAGAGTAGAAATGAAGCTTTGTAGAGTCAGACACCGTTTCTGGTGGATCCGTGGATCCACTGGAAATTACAGAACGCCAGTGCTACCTGAGGATTCACCGGATACCCCGTGATTTAGCTTGCATATATGTATATATATACTATAGTTAGATATATATATATATATACATATAATTATGTATAGATGTATATAGATCTCCAGAGGGCATTCTTCTTCCTGGTCGATTCGTGAATTCGCAAAGTAAGTGCAAACACAACATCTGCTTCTGAAGACTTCGAACAGTCCGAATCCCGCCGCAATTCGGCTTTCCTTGTCCCCTTGGGATTCCCGGGCATCGGCTTTCCGAGAATGGCCGTTCTGCCAGGGCGGCGGAACGCCACTGCTGGCACACACGTCGCAGATCTCACGTCGTGTTGGATGAGAAAAGAAGCGATGGTTTTCTGCCAGAGCCGTATAGCTAAGGATAGTGATCGAATAGTGGACTCAAGGAAGCTTGCAGATTTGTCAAACAAGAATGCGTGAGAAACAGTGTTTGTACAGTGTCTTTTGGACCAATCCCCTGTCCAATGGTTGTCAATCGATCAGCGGGTGATACATGGCCATAGGTCGGTAGGTCAAGAGGAAGTGTCCCTGGTTGTCGAAACCTGGCGGCCTGGAGACCAGTGGAGTAAATTCATCCGAAAGCAAGCCAACAACATCACTGGAGTTGGAAAACATAGTTTAGGTGCGACAGTGCGAGGTGCGGCTTTTTTTTGTTGGACTTTGTTCAGACGGTTCCGCGATACTATTCAGAAGCCATTTATTCGTCCACCATTTATTCGTGTCAACAATTGGCGTGTTGGTGGTGGAGAACACCAGATGACTTCACTACAACAGATGACTGGTGGCCGGATTTCCGTTTTTCGCTGAGCTGGTTCTACCCCCCACGACTGTCCGACCCAGCAGCTGGTTCTACCCACTGAGTCTTAGACTGTCCGTCTGTTGTGGGCGATCAAGGGTGTTTGCGCACAGCTCCCCCGCTTCTTCGGCGAAACCGTCAGAGTTGTTTGTGCTGCCTTTGAGATTTGAGCATTTTGGAACATAGCACATATGACAAATATAAATGCATGTCTGATTGAATAAACAAGCCTGTCATGAAAAGAGTTGTGCTATGCAATAAACATTTATAGACGTGTTATGACTCGTGATTGTTCTAACCTTTTCAATTTTCAATCATGAATTGGTGGTTAAAAGACCAGTATGCTACTTTATATATTTTGTTTTGATTCACTCCAGTTGAAACGAACGTGCCCCCCAAAAAAATGCACATGAAACCCAACCCTAACCCTGGTTCTTCGCAAGTTCTTGCAGGCAGTTCAAATCCAGTCACTTCAAACATTCTACCTAAGACTGTGGTCCGCATGGTGAAGTCCCACAAACAATGATGCTAGCAAGGAACTTGTTGTCAGAAAAAGTGCCTTGTTCGTAAGTCACTTGCCTATTCAGTCCACCATTGTTTCCAGTGTTGGGCGGGCTGAGCGGGCAGACTCCCTCACTTATTGCCATCAAACACCACGTACCTCCAGACTCCCAGACTCACTTCGCAAGAGAACACACGACTCCCGCCACATGGCGAGCCGGCGGTCCATGAAGCGGCCGGCAGGCGGGGGTCCAAGAGAGAACTCCGTCCCATATATTGTTAGTTGTGTGATGTTTTCCCAGAGTTTGGTGGATGAGTGGGATTGTTTATTTGTTGTATTTCCGTGTGGTCGTCTTTTCTTTCCGAGGCACTTTTATAATGTATACAGCAACATTGGGTCAATACGAGGGGTCACTGTGGAAATCTTCCATGCAAGAAGGTTTAGGCATTGTTCTTCATTGATGGATGCAAGGTTGATTTGATGTTGATGGTGCTCGCTTCCTTTGAGCTCCAGAACGTGTGATCAATATTGTTCCTTTTAAGCCGAGACTCTCAGAGGTCCACAATCCATAGGCACTTTTCGCCGGTTTGTGGGAGATTTGGTTCATGAACACAAGTGAGCATCGGACAAAATCTAATGCATACTAAAGTAGTCACAGGGAGGTCTTGGTACATGGGAAACCTGCGTCAAAGCTGCATCACCGATGGGGGCCGACCCGTCTACAGATGCCTTTTCGATGTACCAACCACTTAAGGAAGCATGCTGCCATGTTACATGTACAGCTGGCGCAAACACTTGGCATGTTGCTCTTCTGAGTTTGAGATTGAGTTGCTTACAGCAGTATACAAGACGTGTTGCAAGACCTACAATTTTCCAACCACTCAATAGCTTTCTCACCGCAGTGCCTTACCGATGCCCCAACCGATGCCCACCTTGAATGCAAGAGCAGCTCCTCCACAACTTGCACAGCCACTACAACATATTTGTACCCATAGAAGAGCAGCTTCCCCGCGGCTTGTACAACCACTACTCCAGTTGATTCGTTCCCTCACTGTTGGCGTGCCAGGCTATGGCAAGCCTGATGCCACCAACAAAGCTTGAAACACGGACAACCCTACAAACCTGCACAACCGATTGGGGCCGACCCATTCTAGGCAATTTCTTGAGGCTAGAACATACATATGAACACTGTGTTTTGTTGATGTTTACAGAGCTGCTTGTGTGGTTTGACCGGGTCATGCAGGGCTTCACCATAATGAACTGGTTATTGGTTGCAACACCTGTAGCCCATTGGTGGCTTGTATCGTGTGGTCACTAGCTCAGTCACTCATTTTAAAGCATCGATGGGTTGGGTGACTCTGGGATGAGGGCTTCTCTCGTACCTGCAGCTGCGCATGACACAAACCTACTGCAGTTGGCTCATAGTTATTTCAGTGGATTTACAACCTCCCCTCATAAGCATGTCCAACTATGTACATCAATGTACATCTATAGGTCGTGTGAATTTATAGCCCAACTTCGGGGATTGAACAAAAACTGCCCAAACCTCATAATTATGTTTATCATCCCTGGCATCCCGAGGTCCTTGATCCGCCGTTGGGTGCGACTGAAAGGAAGCGACCACTAGACCGAGCACTGGACCCAAGTCTGTCCACGACTGCTTTGTGGAAACTCCGTCCACCGACCGAGTTTTCGGTACGTGGGTGCACTGCGGTGGGTCCAAACGGACGGCCCAGGGCAGGATGCTCCACGCTGGGTGGTGAAGGAAAACGACCAGGCCCGGTTTGGTTTGTACCCTCTCCTGTCAGGGTTTTTAGGTGGCACTCAGCAGATTGTTTATTTCAGAGGGTCACATTCTTTGAATTAATGTGTTTGTTTCATGTTGTTTCTTTTTTTTCGTCTCCTCCTTTCATAGGTTGCCACAATATCTTGCAGGTGACCACACGCTTTGTATAACCTGCTAGACCTGGAAGGGTACTTTAGGGGTTAGCAACTGGTCATTTCTATCTCTACTTGCAATCTGGTAAATTACATGCAACTACTGCACCTAATAAGTTGTGATCAATGACCTCCCAACCAATGATAGTCAATAAGCAAGTAAAACCTCCAGTAAAGGTGTATGTATACTATACATCTATCTTGGCAGACCAACAGACTGACATTCTGCATGTTCAGCCTCGTTGAGCCACGTCACCCACGTGACCCACGACCACGACGAGGACGTGAGCTTCGAAGAATTCCAGCAGAGCTGGCAGCCTTTGCCCGATGAAGACCAGGACCGTCCATCTCCTACGCGGCAAAACACATTCTACGCGGCAAAACACGTTCATGTTCGGAGACCCATGGCGACTTGGATTTGGTTCCAAGTATAGGCTATTAAAAAGTATATAGAAAGCATTAACAAATATTCCTGCTCTCAGGTCTCAGATTTGTTTGCTTTTTGGATCAGGACTACTACTTCAGTTCCTATGCACCTTGACTGCCAACGGTCAGATCCCGCCGGGAGTGGGCTGATCTTGGAGATATATTCGTGGACGTGGACCACCAGTAGCTGGCGCGTTTGGTCCAGGTTGATGTCTTCTTTTCCAAAACTAAGAGAGCAACCCACAGCATTTTTCGGCTGGCAGCAGTGGCAATGGGATCTACTGAGGTTGATTTAGTGGTAGAACTTTACGACTCAAAAAATACTTCACTGAAGGACAACAGGGCAGCTTTTGTGTTGTGGAACAAGTTTGCACTGTGTGTACCAGGCCACTGTGACGTGGTCTTAATATTGGGAGGAAGAACCTTAAATTACAACGCACTTTTAACTGCACAGCTATGTTTTGGTGGTTTTGGTCCAAGTTGACTGAAACCTGTTGTAAGGGTGGTTTTGAAGGTGTGTCAGTAGTGAAACCGTCCTTTTTAGATGGATTGTGCCACTAATTCTAGGATTTTGTCGGTCGCTTTTCCTTTGACTGAAGGAAGGAGCCACTGACATGGTGGTCCCGAGCTTTGCAATTGACGGATCGTTATTTTTTTGGAAGGGTTCCGGCTTGACAGATTGTTTGCTAACTATTTTTTCTGTTTGCCTGCGCAACTCACATTCACATTCCATTTAGCTTGTTCCTTGTGGATTCCATAGATAAGTTTGTCCAATGTTTGGGATTGATTAAGTGAACTGCTTTTAAAGCCTACAATCTTAGAATCACTGATGGAGGCTCTTTAAAGGATGACTCTTCAACTGAACTGAGGGCGGTGACCAGGCCATGAAATGCTGAGATTTTATTATGTTTTGTGTTTTTATCGATGCTATAGTTCGTTGTGATGATGAGGGGTACATCTATAATCATCTACACTCCACCAGCACCCCACCAACAGGTCATCAGTCGAGAGTTGGTTCTGGTACCACCTGTTCAACCACCCCAGCTACCCAGGCAAATCCGGACATTGGATGTACAACACCCCTTGGTCATCTGCAAGCACGCACGCCTCAGGCTCGTTTGGGCATCCATGAGGACATGCTGAAGGCATCACGCTGGGCACTAGCCGGGTTTCCATGGTGGGCTGCCCTTTGGCGCTGGTGTTCTCAGTTCCTACTAACGAAGACAACACACTAAGAGAGCAAGGGAACCCATATGGATCCATACGGTACTTAGTCAAGTGCAAGGTGTTTGTGAGTCCAGGTGGTGCAGGGTTTGTTGATCAACATTTCAAGGGCCAAACACTGCCGAGGTATATTTAGTTGAAAGTTATGTGGATAGAGTGGACACAAGGTTGAAGAGCCCCTCGCCATTTTTGGTCATTTACAGGAACTACCAACACCAACATAAGGGGTTCTTCAACTATGTACTTATATATATATATATAGTCAAGCTATGCGACATTGGGGATTGACATGGGGTGGTTTTGTATATTTTCGCATGGATAATGATACGATGGTTATACATTCAACAATATCCCTTAAATACTGGCGATTTGGTCATCCCGGTCACTCACTCAAGAAACCTTCCACCAACACGAGTTTCCCCCGTCACATTCTTGGGGAAAACCCTTGGACCACCGGGTTCAACATCAGCCTTGGACCCTTCCACCGGACGACACGTCAGGATGAGGTCCGGACTGGAAGTTATATGGAAGCCATCGAAAACAGCCAGGTGCGGGGGCACTAACGCGGCGTCGCTGTTGCGGCAGCAATCCTTTTAACCCGCGTCAAGACATGCGTGAAAATATGGTGTCACAGCTTGCCACTTTGGACACGTGGCGGAGTTACACAGGTGACTATAAGTTGGTTTCTTCAACAATCCACACTTACAAGATTTACAAGTCTTATGTATCCTGTATAATGTTTACTGTATGCCGAGTTACGCTGTTGCTCCATGGGTTTGGTTCAGAAACTTTGGTTTAATGCGGGAATTGAACTCCTGTTCATCGTTGGTTCAGATGAACTGCCTATTGAACACCCTATTCATGGTTAAAATTTGTGAAGTGTGTCTTCAGTGCCTTCATACCACCTATATAGCCGGAACGGGTCCTATGCAAAAAAGAACGTGGGATCAAGAGAACATGTCCGTGGTCTTTGGGCAAATCCTCCACGTTTGAGGTGTTGTTGTCAATTGGGAGGGTTTCTTTCCATGCATGGCAGTGATGCAAGGGGTCAATGTCTTGGAAGTGATGAGCCCAGTGGATTCTGCCAGGACTTGTTCAATGGCAAGACTGTACTGGATGTCGGCTCAGGCCCGGTACGACGAGAAGACAAGCAGTACTGTACTGCTGCGGTGGGCCACCAACACCGGATTCGGTTCTGATTCGGTTCTGATTCGTCCACTCCTCGGCTACGGTTTGACCGGGGGAGTTGTTCTTGCATCAATGTTCACGTGTGGTTTGTGTCTTTTAATGCCCACCTGGGCGTTTGGAGTTAAGGCTTCCTCACCTGCAGCGAAGCAACCACCTTAGAATCCGGAGAAGTGCAAATGTATCACTCAAATCCTGTCAATCCTGTCCCGGTGTCTTCATGTTGCAATCTTGTTGAGATTCTGTCAGGTTCGATGAGAGAGGTTTGTCCTCAGGTTCGTTCGCTCGTGGGAAACATGGACTTTGAGATGAGATGACCATGTTGTCGATCGGACCTAAGAGACCCAAGAGACTAGAGACCTGCAGTTCCTATGTCTGGCTGATACGTATCGTATCAGTGCTGAAGACACAGACTCTACACATCTCCTGATCGCTCTGAAAAATCATGTTTATCCATATATAAGTATCAGAATGCAAAGGAAGGACAACTTAGTCACTGGTTTCCTCATAGTTTCATGGTTCAATCATAAAAATGACTTATTATCTATGCAACCTTCAGTACACATCATAGCCAAAAGTGTTGTGTTATGTATAAGAAAATATACTATTATTTCTAGCGAATGTTCACCTTCTTGCTCAGATCACTTCAGTGCGGCTGAGGTTCTTAATCTTCAATAGATTCTGTTTCAACATCACCGCCTGTGGATCTTGATGCACTCCCCATTGCAGCACCCTGCACCGCCTTTGAAAGACTTAGCTTCGTTTCAACCCAATTCAACATGAACACCCTGACCGTTCCAAATGACCACCCTTCAGGTTCCATGTCTCTCTCCACCCCCAAAACCGTCTCCCCCAAGCGCTAAGCTGCGCTGTGCTGCTCCTGCGGGGAAACAATCAAGAAAATCACACTTCTTCATAACAGCAACACACCCTGTCTCTTCTTCATAAAGGGGTAACAGAAATCCACTTTCTCAGCAACTGACCACACCCTGTCTCTGCTCCACCCCTTTCAACCCCTTTCTCTTCCCCCCCCGTCACCCAGGTCGGTTTCTTCCGGTTTGGCTCCGCATGGCGCGGACCCGCCGGTCGGTGCCCCGCGGCCAGGCACCGGCATCCTGTCGCTCTTCGCCGTCCGCGCGGGGGCGCGGCAGGTGCTGGGCGTGGAGCGCTCCGAGGTGGTGGACTTCGTGGCTTGGTTCCGACGAAGGGAACGACCGGCGAACGGAGGAGGGAATGGTGCCTAAATAGGGATGGACCAAAGGAGGGTGTAAAGGAGGGAAGACTCTGGGAAGTGTGTGGATGTGTTCTTTTCCTCTCTCTCTCTCTCTTGTTTCTCCTCTTTTTCTGGTTTGTGTTCTTTTGTTCAAGGACAAAGGTGATGTAGCGATGGATGAAAGACCTCATTCTCATCCTTAATTCTCATCCCTGTCCTCATCCTTCTTCCTTTGTGTGATTTTTAGTTATATAGATGTTTTTGTTCGACTGATGATTCTTGGATGCCTCCGAATTAAGGCCCGGACCATTGCAGAGGACAATGGCTTCCGGGAAGTCGTCACTTACGTGCAGGGGAAGGTGGCGGTGCGTGCTTGGGGTGGTGCCAGCGCACGGACGAGTGGGTCAGACCTTTTTCAGATGAATTTGACTTGCTTACATCATATGCTGTTTGGTTAGAATATGCAGTATGGGGAATATATTAACTGACCCGTGCGGCCTTTCGTGCGGCTATTGAGCCGCGAACATCGTGGGGCCTCATGCCTTCAACCAATCATCACGCGGCTACGACTTGATTCAAAACAATGTTGTTTTTCTTTAACAACGGACCCTGATGCTACTTCTCTTGGACATGCCTGTCATTTTGCCTGTCTATTATTTGTAATAGAAGAGAGGGAGCTGTTTCCCCCTCTGTGTTAATTGAAAACGTCACGCACACGCATGTGTTTTGGGGTTCCATCTACACCGGCAGCTACGACCCGTCTCCCGGTCGTTTCACCCACCACGACGGGACGACGCGGACCGACGGACGGACCACCATCGAGCGGACGCAGGTGGAAGAAGTGGAACTTCCAGTGGAGAAGGTGGACATCATCGTCTCTGAATGGATGGGTCACTTGGAAGTTTAGCCATGCTGGGTGTAAAGAAAGACCACAGAACAGACCATCCATATATAGAATAGTTACCTTGGGGTCAGACATGGGGTCTAAAATCTACATGTATAATTATATCGATTTGCGCGACCGCTGACTTCGGCTTGTTGCTTCACACAGCTTGCCGTATATATTAATTGAACCTCTTATACATATCTATTCTCTACATGGAGTGTTTGGGTATGGCATTTTTGGTGTCAAGAAACGGACGGTGTTCCAGTGCTGTTTGGGTGTCTTTGGGCCAGGGGGGCTCTGGTGGGTGGTATGGTTTCTGGGGCACATGGACTGATGAGCAAATCTGAGCAATGGATTTTGCACAAATCCCACACCAGGTGAATCAGGAAGTCGTTTCACTTTGCCAAAGATGAATTCTGCCAGCGCCATTTTGCCCATATGAGACACAATCCCCTACAAATGAACTGCTGGAAACACCCCTTGACACCAATGAACAAGCTGCCAACACCCGTTGGTGCTCAGTTTCCCTCCCAACAAATCGTCGTCTGCAAACAACTTAACCCTAGGGCTTCAACTACCTCGTGAGAAGGTGGTTGGGATGGGTTTGGGGGGTCTAACCACCTTCTGAGGATATGGTTGGAGCCCTACTAGGGTAACAACGAGGGAACTGGCTGCAGCATGTGGTGCCTTTTGGCAGTGCGACTTGCCCACGAAGTCTGCTGTTGTCAAGCAAACTGAGGGCAACCCAAAGACGAGGCATGAATCCCGCCATGCAAAGCTTGCTTGCTCTCCTCACACGAGACCGGCTACGCACCAAGGTTACTTCCTGATGTTCGACACTTGGCTTCTTTTAGATTGGCATTCCATATGGAGCAGATCTATAGATGATTCTAGCATGTCCCCACAATGGATATTCCATGATATTCCCAGTCTTCTGGGGGGAAAGGAACACTCTCCAAGTGTTCTTTGGAGGAACTAGCAGTGACCGTAGGCTCTCTATACCTTCCCTCAGACGATGCCAAGCAGCAAGCCGCCGCTCCTTCAGCTCAGTCGTTCCGCTCAGGAGTCGATGTTGGATTCCGTGCTCTTTGCGCGGGATAAGTGGCTCAAGCCAGGAGAGAATGCGGTCGTTCTTTGTTGTTTTTGTTGCCGGTTTGTGGATTTGTTGTTATTTTGCGGTGGGAGAAGGGTTGGATGTGTTGGAGTGCAGCAGTTGGTGGTGCTGCTAGTTACTAGTTCGGTTTTACAAAGTGCATGAGATGGGGTCTGGTCCCCCAAACCATGGTGAAGATCCAGCTCTAAGAGCTCGGAGAAACACGGAGATCCATGCAAAATCCGACAGATCCGAAACAGATCCGAAGGAAGACACGGCACCTTCGGTCCCACGTGGTGGTTCCAGACCCAGATGACTCGGTCCCATGGGATGCACCGACTGTAGCCGATCCGAGACTCGGGACCGCACCGCAGATGACTCACGTGGGGGTGTCCAGAAGACTGAGATGATGCGATCTGGAGAGGTGACATGAGGTGACCGAAAAGCCACCAACCAATGGGGTTTTGGATAACCTTTTTGGTGTATGGATTCATGCAGCATCGATTGACTGGGACTCGAGTTTGGAGCAAGCTGACACTGCCAGAAAAAGCCTCTTTGAGGACTCCACGTCGCTGTTGTGTCATCAAATTTGGAATGAAGGAACATACCAGGAGCATCCGTTCGGAGTGCCTAATGGACTGCCCTACACAACTTCTGGATCTCCAGACAGGACACCCTGACAGGATGGTTCAGGGAACTACATGTGGTCTTTCTCCACGGGTTTCTTTTGTTGAAGGAAGCCATTGTTTGCTTCCTCAGACGGCATGGTTTTTTCACCACTGGGAGCCCAGTGTGACATGGGGTTGAAGAGTGCTAAGTATGTGGGAAAAGGCTTTGCTGTGCAATGTTTCCTTCAGGAGGGCAGATGTTTCCTGATCGTGCCCGGCTACTTATGGCGGGGATCGAGGATGCAGACTACAAGGAGGAGAAGCTTTTTGGTTGGAGAAATGGATTTTGGGGATGCAGCTTGCTTCGACTTGCTTGTTGTTGCTGGCTGTGCGGAATTACTGGGTAGAGGCATTCTAGCAGGGACATTGTTGAATTGACAATTCGAAACCACGTGGAACGACCAAACACTGGAGATCTGGGTTTTGGTGTGTTTTCGTGAATGATTGTTCAGTGACAATATGCGAAGTCGAATCCAGTCCTGCGGGAGGTGAAACGAGACTGTACTTTTGGATGGTAAGTTGATTGGATGTTCCTGGATGCTTTTGGGAATCCTTGTGGGAGTCTTATTTGCCGGTATGAAATGGTGCAAAGTATAGGCAGGCGCATAGCCGGCATAGGTTGTCCATGCTTTGCTAAGACATGCAGGCTCAATATTTCGCAACACACCAGCTAGGTGGCATGTTTGTTGTGATATCACTTTCAGGGTCCAAAAGACAATTTATATATCCGGAAGACCTGGATTAGTACTATATGTTGTCACAGAAATCCATTGGATTTCTGAAACATAAATAAGCTCACAGCCCTTGGCCAAGGGCTTGCTCAAGCATTCCACATCGTCCATATGTAAGGATTTTTTGACTGCTGCAATGAGTACCTGTTGTCTTAATCTTTCAATATTATTGAGGGATTCAACACCGAAAATAACACGGAGAGTTGCAGATGTCATTCCTTCAACTGTTTCTTGTCATTAAGATGAAGCATGCTGAACCTTTGCTTTCATCTAAGTTCTGTATTGTTTCATCAAAGCCATGTGCCTTGTAGTTGTTTTGCGAATTACGTGGCGCAACTCGCGTCATCGCCGAGGCTTGGTGCCTGGTGCCACGTCCGCGGCTTCGACTTTTCGCCTGTCGCAGAGCTGGTGTGGGCCCTGGGAGGTTGAAACCATGGTTGAAGAAATGCAGCTAATGCGACTCATTGCATTAAGCATATCCAACATTACAAGATTCCAGCCACCGTTACCACCCAGGTTCGCGTCAATTGTTTCAAGTTTCTTGATTCTATAGGAGAAGGACTTTGCTCAAGTCGATCACGGTGAGTCAGTTGGATCTGGTTCACCTCACCGGTCGATCCGGAACCGCCTCGGTTCCGGGGCAAAAAACACCGATGTCGGGTTCCGAAGCTACCAAAACAGCTGATGGCCAGCTGTTGAAGGACTCAATTGGTGCCAATTGATTATTGAGTTTGCTGTTAAGCTTTGTTGGGTATGATTGCCCCCCTCCACCAACACCAAAAAAGAACTCCAGTTTTTCAGTCCGGACAAGCCAGACAAGCCTGGGGCCACCTCATGGAGTCATCCCTCAAAATCACCCGGCCGAAGCCGTCATCGAGTCATCGAGGCACTGCAAGAGCCCTTGTCCGAGATCGTGGATGCTTCTGCGATGGTGACCTCCCGTCAATGCGTCGGGGCACCCGTGCGCGTTTGCCGCCCCACAGCGAAAGGGGGGGGCTAGCAAAGAACGGAAAGGGGGGGGCATGGCTTATTTTGTTTCACGGTGTTCTTTGATATTCTATGATTCTATTATGTCTAACTCGTTGGTGAATTTGCCTATAATTAATTGGTGCGAGGAGGCTTGAATGGCCAGCGAGCTGAGCTCGGGCCGTTCTCCTTGGCCCTGGGCTTAGGCTTGGCTGGGTCAACTGCGACACCATGGTGTGAGGAAACTTCACAGTTGGTGAGGACATGTTTCAGGACATCCATCCACTCTGGGTTGAAGCGGGTCTCCAATGTGTCAATGCGGGTGCGTTCATTTTCGGGGCCCTGTCCCGAACCTTCCAGGCGGTCGGCGGTCGTTGCCTGGGAGGTCTCTACTGGAAATACACCACCCATATGAATCATCTGATGTCATTGTGACCCGAGAATCGTCCATGGTGTGACGATCAGGCTGACTTCTTCGGCTCCTCAAATCGAACCGCGGAGCGGAAAACTCCAGAGACCCCGGCGATCAAGTGCGGTGTGAAATCTGTGGTCTTAAGCTTGCCGTGATGCTTTTTTTCTTGAGATGCTCGAACACCCCTCTCATTTTCTTCGAAGGCATCAGAAAGAATGGCATCGGGCCAGCAGGAGTGTCAGCAGGTGACGTGGAGAGGGCTTCGTCCCCTCACTTTCTTCCGACCGGTGACCGAGGTCTTCCAGATGGACCTCACCACGGTCACCCGACACTTGGCGGTCTCACCAAGCAGATCCGAGCAGACAGCAGACCTGGGTCCGAGACACTGAGACCAGAACCGAGACTTGGTTTCCCTCAAAAAAGTTAAGTCCAGTTATTCTACTGTTCTACCACTTTTTCTACTGTTTGGAACATGGTAGAATAGTATGTTCCTGGACTTTTTCTTGGAGTAGCAGCTTTCAACTGGCTGGGAGCGAGGGTTTCACAACTGCCGAACTTGGTATGCAGATGCTTTTCCACGTGGGTACATGGTGTGGGAGTTCCTTTGAGGTGCTTTAAGGGAAACAACTTAGTCATAGTCATATTATCATATATGCAGCTAGCCGCAGCTAGCCATTTCCACAAGGGTTGTGTGGAAGCGATGGTAAGCTGCCTGCTAGCTGCTAGCGTGGAACATGTTCGTGTTGAACCTTTTGACAGACTGTGATGGTTGATTTTTGTTGCATGCATACGAGGGGAAAATATGCTAGCTCCTCAACTACTGAACAGATCTGAAAAGCACAACACCCAAAGCTCCTCACGCGCAAAGTTTCGATTCGTCATCCCAAGAAGAGACAACTCCGGGCTCATTGCTGCACAAGTGGACGATGTTTTCTGAAGACGAAGGACCAAGGATGCTGTGCGCCAGGCAGATTTGGATCTCTGTTTTTCACGATGTTTGTGTTGGAACTCCTGGTTTTTCAAGCATTGCTGGTTTCGTCCGAAAGTCGACGTTTTCCGAGGCATTCCTGATAACGTCAGCGCAAAATTGGATTTCGTCAAAGCACGAGGTGGTCAACCAGTCGGAGTCTAAACGTATTTTGGTGGTCCTCAGTTCAACAAGGCGACTTCCTGCGTCAATGTGCAGGTCTACAAGAGGGAATCCACCATAAAGGAGTCCTGCATAAAACAATCTGGGCAGGGACACTCACTTCCCACATTTTCCCACCACCCAATCGTAACAACAAAACCATGCAAGAACTAATTCAAGTCTTGACACCATGCCACACTTGCAAAAGAGAAGCTGACAACCTATCAGCAACGGAAAGCAGCTATTGTAAGTGGTCGAGGCAACAAAGAATAAATTATCCCAGCCCCTCCACACCCCCACAGCCTGACAAGATTGCACAACTCATTAGGCTGGTGGAAGAAAAATAACCTCACAGAAGTGGGACCATTACACCTGCTGAAAGGGAAGTCTTGACAGTTCTACATGATAGATGATGTTTAGCTCAAACCAGGGTCACAAGCATATGAGCATATGTATGCTTGTGCATCACATGTAAAATGTATACAACACGTATCAGACAGTATATATATATTGTACTTATGTGTATATATATATAACCTTCATAGGTTGATCACTGTCCTTCATGTTCCACATAGGATTGCTCGCTCCCAACCTGAGGGGCTGAATTGGACTTTGTCGCGCAAGGGGGGCCCAGAGATGGGAGATGTCCGGGCGAACCGATTTGGGATGGTTTAGGTACAGGTGGGTCATGAGCAAAGACCTACGGAGGTTATTGATGCAGACGTTTCTGGCAGGTTTCTGGTCAAAAACCACAGAGTTCTATTCACTGCTCAATGGCCACGTCGGTTGGATGGCGCCCGGCGTTAAAGCCATATCATAGCGTCTTGTGGAGGGGTCATGAAGTTTCAGTAAGACAGCATTGCGTTGGCAACCTCCTCCCGCGCGAAAGCCCGAAAGGGTTGAAGAGCTTTGACATGAATTGAACGTGTTCGCTCTATGTGCTATTCGCACCCTCTCTTTGCTCAAAGTACCGAGTTGTTTGAGGAATGCCCATGGTGAGGGAGTAACGGTTGTTTCGAGCACAACCTCTTTACAAGCATCCAAAGACCGTGATTGAAACGACCCTTGCTCCCTCCAATGCGGCCAATGCTGCAGATCCTTTTCCATATTTGGGTGCATTGCCAAGCAATGCGGCCCGATGTCGCGGCTTCAGACTTGAATTTGGATCTTGATCCTTGGTAATCTCAATATGTGTGGTTGGTTAAGCTTGCGTGTCTAACAAACAACCGGTGTGCGCACCTCTCAAAACCTCAGGGAGTCAATCGGGAGATTATGTTTTTTGTTATTGTATTTGAGCGGTCAACCTTTGAGCATCTCTCAAGTGCACATCGGACAGATTCAGCCAAGGACTCCAGACTGGCAACACAGTTCCATGCGCAGACATCCGCTCTGGATCTGTCGAGCCAGGACTGGTCAATGCAATGGAGCGTTGTTCTTCTGTAGTGACTCCATTGGGGCAGGGCCGGGCAAAGGCACTTTGAGGACGCCAAAGTCACTCAAACTCAAACCCTCATTCGGTTGCTTCACTTCAGGAGCTCGTTGATGAGCGCTTGGAAGAAGCTTGGCAGAAAAACTTCCTGAGCCATTTCATCCTGGACATGTTCAGATTGACATCTCTGAACGGCCATTTCTCAGGCACAAAAGGCCGACACCTTGCAGAAAGGGATCGAAGATTGCAGTGACTCGGCCAACGCAGCTGGAATCAGAAAGAAATGCAAGGATTTATGTAGGACACTATCAGATTCTGCAAATACCCTTGGCAGGCGTCCTTAAGAAGAATTTGTAGTAAGAAGTCGAGACATTCTGGACTGCAGTGTGCATGATGAAGAGCTGGTTTGCAGAACATTCAAAAAGGGTGCTACATCATTTAGTGAATGTTGATCGACTGGAGTGACCCGCTAGTGAACAGGATCAGCTCAACATTGACGAGTCAAACTTATAAGAGCTTCATTTTAACTCCACATAAAATTTGAGTGGGGTGTCTGAGTCATGTCGAATCCACTTTCACTTTCCGGGAAGTAGAACAGTAGAACAGCGGATGCTTTTGCTCTCATTTTCGCGGAGTAGAGCGGAGCTGCTTTATTTTCCTGTGACACATAGATGTCCTGTGACACAAAGGCTCTGCGGAGACCGTACGAAGCATTCTAGAGACACTGAGATGTCCAGGAGATCTGACAGGACAGGAGATGTTTTGGCGATGGAAAACGTGCTGTCGGGTGTCTTGTATGGGACATGTGGGACATGTGGGCTCCGTGATAGGTTCGGGGTTGGACAAGGATAATTTACATGTCGCTACGTACAGATGTCATTGTGTTTCGTTCAGTGTTTCTTGCCCCAGCTTGGTGATCTCCACTGGGTTTTTCCAGGATCGGACTTCTGCACATGGCCAGGGATTGTTTGCAAGGGCTGCTACGTAGTCAAGGTCGAATGCGGCTTGGCAATTGAGTTTCAACTTTGGGATTTATTGAAGGAAGTCCTTATTTCCACGATGAGTTTGTGTCTTAGTCGTTTGTTGAGCTGTTTAAGTGAGATGCAAGGTAAGCAGGCGGACGGACGTTTACCACGGGACCTTCACCGATTAAGCCATCTTCAGCAGCTGCAGCTCGAATCCACCCAAGTCACTGGAGACATTCAAGCCGTCCAAAATCTTACGCGGCTGCAGAGGCTCAACATCGCATTCACCCGAGTCACAGGAGATATCGAAGTCTTCAAATCCACACCCCAGCTCAGGGTGCTTAAACTTCAGTCAACCAGTGTCACTGGAGACATTCAGGCCTTCAGAAGCACTCCACGTTTGCAACAGATGTTTCTCTACTTTACTGGAATCACCGGAGACATCGAAGCTTTCAAGAACACATCTGACCTGGTCTATTTAGACCTTGCCGCTACCGGAACCACTGGCGACATCGCAGTCTTTGGAGGCACTCCTTTTTTGCAAGGTCTTGTTCTCTATTCAACCAATGTGATTGGAGACATCAAAGTCTTCCAGGAGACTCCATCATTGTCCCACCTGGAACTGTGGCCTACAAAGGTCACTGGCGACCTCAAAGTGTTTGAATACACTCCGAATTTGTGGCATGTTGTCCTATACTCCACGGGAGTCGCGGGTGACATCCACGTCTTCGAAGAGAAGACGTATCTGGAGGAGCTTCAGCTGGGAAACACTGGAGCATATGGAGACATCCAAGTCTTCCAAGACGTTCCACGTCTACAGACCTTAAACCTCCGGTCCACGAACGTGACAGGTGACATGCACCAGATCCGTCTATGGCGTGATGTCAAAACCGTGGATCTATCGAAGACCCTGGTCAGTGGTCGCATTGACCGAGCATGGCGCGGCTGTTGCCAAAGTCTGCAACGATTGAATTTGGCCGTTGCTTGGCTCAGTGTCGTGTTGTGTCGCCGGGGCACGGGGCACTTGGGTCGAAAGTTGAAGGTGTCGGCTCGGGTGGTGTGAACTAAGGAATCCAAAGTGAGCTTCTTGCCGACGGGGAATGATGCACTGGAGCTCATGAAAGTTAGTTCCTCTGACTTAGACGGCTTTCTTCCGGCATTAACCAGCCTGGATGTTGGAGCCTTAGGCGTTTTCATGCAGTCTCGAGTGGCTGGACAATCAACCCCTACTTTGATTGATACGCACTTGGATGAAACCGGCATCAGTAGTTCTCACATTCGCATACATTCACCATCACAAACTACACCAAACTTCAGAAGGTGGCCCTCAGGATGAATCATCTCGCCTGTACCACTGGCTGAGGTGAGCAGATGTCTTTTGCATGGAGAACTGCAGCAACTTATTCAGCCTCTCATGGAATGCAAATTCCTTTCAAAGATTGCGGCGGCAGGATGCAATCTGACAGGTGAGCTCGTGCCTACCAGTATTTTTTACAAGGATGGTTCTCCCCGCTATTATAAATATGCCTCGCTGTGGTCCTCTTTGGTGAGTCTTGACATCTCTGCTAATACAATCAAAAGAGTGGGTGGCTTGCCAATCTCCATCGTTAGCATAGACCTTTCGAACATGTCCAGCGAGCTGGTGATGGACCATGGCATCCTGGCAGCCCTTGTGAACCAAAGGGTCCGAGCCAATTTGCGGATGACCGTTCTGAAGGGCGACGAGCCAAAGCAGTTGATCCAAAAAGGTTTGCTGAAAGCTACTGAACGATGGGTGACCTCAGGTCTTGGATACTCATGTCACAACTTGGTGGGCTCGACGATGGATGTGACCCCTGAACGGTTTGCTCCTGAGCTGCTGTGTGGGTGTGCACGCGGGTATTCTGGCCATGGCACCACCTGTCTTGCCTGCGAGGCCAACTTCTTTAATCCTGAGCTGAACCAAAGCCAATGTCAACGATGCCCTCCAAACAGCAGAAGTGATGCAGGGTCCCCGAGCCTGCAGTCGTGCCAGTGTTCCATGGGGAACCCATACAACGGCAGCAGGGGTCTCACATGCGCTTGTGGCGACGGAGACGCTTTGCTGGGCGATGACTGTGTCTCCTGTGAAAAGCTCAATCTCAAGTGCATGGGCCATGGGAACAGCGCAGCGACAGCTCCACCAGCAGCGTCCTTCATGCGGTTACGCCCCAATGCTAGTGATGTCTTCCAATGTGTCGATCCTGCTGCCGTTCGATGTCCCGAGAATGTGTCGATGTCGGGCTGCGCACCGGGAGCCTTAGAACAAATTGAGTTGCAGTGGACCTCGAATGAATACCAGGCTTGGTAATGAAAGGGAGCACTACATAATGACCACGGAGGAAGAAGCCCCTTCCTCCAGAAGGTCAACGAGGTTTTGGGCCACCTCCTTTTGACACCCACACAAATTTGTATTCCTTGGGATTGTTCTGAAGACTAATCATGACTAATCTGTTCACGGGAAATTCTCCCCCAAGACTCAGAGATGGGATTTGCTCAAATTGTTGCAGCAGCAGTGGCTGACTAGTGAAGGGGGGACACTTGGAATCCTGATTGGGAGATACATTTGCTGGACCCAACCACCTGTTTGCCCAATGAAACAAACCTGAAGTGCAACTGCCAAAGAAAGTAATTAAATGTAATTAGATTAACTAAAATCATTGATAGGTGGAGGTTTGTTGCTTCTGGCTTCATGCTAAATGAACATATTATGACTCATGACTGTAACTTGATAGATAAATTGTTCCTCCATGTCATGTGTGCAAACACTTGGGACGGAGCAGTCGTGACTGAGGATACGACGGCCCTCTTTGCGTGCTTTGTGCTCAGGGTTTTCAACCCAGAGGCAAGACTTGCCAACCCTGTGCCAACAGCCAGACTCCTTACCTACTTTGGTTTGGCCTTTTGGGGCTTGGTGACATTTTCTTGGCAGCCGCCTATGCCTATCGGAGGATGTGGTGGGATGGTCCAAAGGTTGAGGGTTTGGGGACCAACCCACACTGTAACAATGCGCAGGAATAAAACACACTCATCACGGTGTTGAGTATGTTGCAGTGCTGCCCAACTGTGCAGGAGGGGTGACCTTCATCGTGTTCAGGAGCTGGACCAGCTGTGCTTTGAACATTTGATGAGTTTATTGAAGGAATGCTGAATCCAGATCATGTTTTGTGTTTGCCCGAAGGGACATGACATGGACTTTATCCTGGGAGACAAACAACTCCACAAATTGGTGGCACCAGGTGAACTGAGGGTTCAATGTGTTCGAAGGGCTGGGTGGTGATGTATTGAAGACTATCTCCACGCCAACACAGATTGTGGATAATGTTGTGGCAATCTCACTCCACGTTTCCGCGTGATCGGATCTTGGAAGTCAGACATCGAATCCTCCGCGGATTTGACAGGAGACTGGAGCAGCTGCAGTCCTGATGCAGCTCCTTTCTGCACAGGCTGGTGGGGTCAGCGAAGTGGAAAGATATATAGAATATAATAGACTTAAGCAAATCTTTTTTCGACCAAAAATACTGTAGCAACATGATAAGAATAGAATTTCTTTGAAGAGGCCATATACATCCATGTACCAACAAGGTTTCTTGGGCGGATGCCCCTTGGGGCATCGCCGTGCTTTCTTCGGGTCCTGCATCCACCGTTGAGGCTTCACTCCCAAGTGAAGCCTCATGCGTTTCCCGGAACTCACAGAACTGAACTAGAACAGTCCATTGGTCATTCTTGGAGGCTGAAAGACATGATGGGAGATCCAAGGGCTGCCACATGCCGCCATTTGTGCTTGGACTTCTGGGCTGGTTCTCTCAACACCATGTTACAATGCAAAACATGACGTACTATTGAGGTGCTTTCAACCCCTCACTTGCCTATCATATCAATGGCCTCTTGATCAAAAGATAACTATATACCCCAACACATCAATAGAGAAAACCATATTTCATATGTTTAAAAGAGAACACCATATACTATATAGCCCCTCCTCTTAGGTGTTCTTTCATCCATTTACATCATATTTCCAAGAACACCTCGTTGGAACATGGCCTCCTCAGACCTAAGAGGAGGGGCTTCAAAACCATCCTTGGTAGGGTGGAGTCCACCTCTGAACAGGAGGAGTGTCAATGAATTCACGATTGTCCGAGGCCCCGATGATGCTTCAGCTGGTCCAGCTTTGGGTGGTGCTGTCCTGCCTGGCGAAGGACGCGGTTCCCGCGAGACAACCTGCCGTGGAACGGCAGATTCACCGGCAACCCGGTTGGGGCGTCGAAGAAGGTCTATGCGGCAACCGCTGGTGAATTCCTGAAGGCTAAAGGAGGAAGTGGAGTTTGTCAGGAATTGATGATGGAACTCCACACGGACATTAGCCTTTGCATGTCTTGTCAGGAGGGCTTGGATACCGAAGTGAAGAAGGGGCAAGGTAGTTTCACCTCTCACTTTCCAGATCCTTGGCACGGAATCAGCTGAGGAGCTTCAAGGTCAGTAGAGTTGGCTTGGATGGATGGGTTTTGGATGGTTTTGTGATGTGTTGTTTTTCAGTTTTCCTGACACCACTGGGGAAGCTCCATGTTCCATGTAAGGAGTATGGGTTTCCCATATTATGGATGTTTTCCTGACAACTCTATTTCGAGTAGCTTTGCTGTTGCTGCGATGCCAAGGAGGTAGCCTATCTTGAGACCTTGGAACTCACAGTGGACAGCTGGCAGGCACCTTGTGTTTCTCCAAAGAGAGCCATACGAATCAACATTTAGAAAGCCTTGTCTTCCTCATCCTGTCAGGAGTGGTTCAATATTCAGTGCTTCTTTGATCCTGTAGTCATTCACTCGGCCTCAGCATTGGCAGCACCGCTTCTGCCACTGTTTCTCGCTAGCACATCATAGCACAATCAATTGCATATAAGTAGTGTCAGAGTAGATGGCACAAACCGTAACCCCATGATGTCTTTTACTGTAGATTGGGGTCCATATAAACCACCTTGTGGGGTCTGTGCTATCTCAATCCACTATAAGTGTTTCAGGGCGACTCTTTGCTTATTGTTCCAATCCGACTCTTTGCTTTCAAATAGCGACTCTGAGCAACTCCAACTTGTTGTGATGAACAACTGTGCAAGCTTTGGGTTGTGCTCCATCGCTGCATATGCTGGTTGAGCATGCTCTTTGCACAACATCGCGGGTCCTTGATCTGTAATTCTCCTGGCATTACCCAAGCTGAGGCTTCTCCTGGGCTTGTGCGCTATGATCGAGCTCTTTTCACGAAGTGATGGAGACAAGACATGCAAGGAACCTTTGTTTTGCCATGTTTTGCCAGGGATTGGTTTCATGGAAACCAGCCTCTCCGTTGGACTTTAGATAGTGATCCTGTGTTTTTTAAAAGGAAGGATGGGGTGTGTCCCATCCTGCTTGGTGCCAAGGAATCAATCTGGCCTTGAAGATGCTAACACTCTTCTTTATTGGAGGCGTCCGGAAGTTGCTCTGATCATTTTGTGTTTCTAGTGTCAGTTTTTTTGTTTACCTGGGCAATCTAAACCTGTGAACATATCTCGGACAGCGGTATTATGTCTTTGCTGGATTTTGAAGGAGCGTCGAGCTCAGCGAAGCTTCTCAATTGCCAAGACTATGATGGGGGAGGCCGGCCTCATCCTGGTTGGGTGGGAACAGCAGAGCTTCAGGGCCCGGAGTTGTTGGAACTTGATTTGTTTGAAGCCCAACCGAAGGTGATCAGAAAACATGTTTAAAACACTCGTAATAAGAAGGATGGTGCCCAAAATCAATCTTGGTATCCTGCATATTGTTGGTGTGTCGCAACATCACGATGAGTGGGTGCAGTTCCTCACATCACACATCACATCATCTCACATCTCACATCCATAGTTTGACCATCAGGTGAAAAGAGTCTGGGAGAGGACTCCTTTCGGCCTTTGTTCCCACATCTCAAGTGCAATGACTCCAATGGCTTGGCGCTTTGGGTCCCCTGGCGTCACGCGACACGGGATGGATGGATTTGTGGACGACTTCAAGCGATCCAAAGCAAAGGACACTCTGGAGAGAAGATGCAATAGACATCAATAGACAAGCAAGTGGATATCCAGGTTGTTTTTTGCCCAGCCAGGGGGGCGAATGCTCCCAATGCTCCGCCTGGAACGATTTGCCTCGAGGTCAGTGCTTACCTTCGAGAGGGATTTAGTTTGATCCCCAACCTGATGAACATGTTCCACAGCAATCTTCCACAATATCTCAAGATTTGATATATGGTCGTTGTCGTTGTCGTTGTCGTTGTTGTTCAGTTTGGTGTTTCCGCACTGCTTTTATGCCCCACTGACATCCACTATCCTTTCCAAGCTACTGATGCCATCATCGAAAAGCGTCTTGCACACTCAGGTCGACGGCATTGGATACGCCACGGTTTTCGCCTATGGCATGGTGATCCCCATGTTCTTGCTGATGGTCATGGCGCGACAGCACCTGGCTCTCCAAGAGAGTCGACTGCTGGTGGCCACCGCCGATATTGGAAAACACACCCGGGCCCTGCGCATCGAGCGGCTCCGGCGAACCAGCGAAGAGACTCCGGAGCCGACAACCGAGCTCGGTGCCGGGCTGAAGGAGTGGACTGGTGTTATTGGACACGGTGATGGAGGGCTCTCACTGAGCAGAAGTGCAGATCAGGGGCATCAGGGGTGTTTTTCTACTTATATGTCTCATAGTCTATTGCATGTGGTTTAACAATAGAAGTCGTGTTTTTGCATGTTTTGCAACGACATGCAACGACCATTTGTAAATCTTCGACCGGTGACACAGATGCTGAACAGGACGATGTGCTTGCACGGCGTTTACTGGCAGCTGCTGCGGTCCACATGGCTGTGGAGATGCGAGGGTCAAAGGTGCAGGTGGAGCTGAAGAAGGATTTGGCGAATCTTGGAAGTTCATTTGAGTACCGTATTGCATTTGTTTGTCGATGACTGAGTTTGCATAAACATGGAGCTGTATTTGATGCTGCTTCCACAAAAGACTCCACTCATTTGGAAAGATGTCGGAAGAACAATGAAGAACTTGAGTGAGGAATTTGGAATGGTTATGCAACAATACTGTCTTGAAAGGTGCATTGGAACATAATGGATAACCAGGAACCCTACTCAGCAACACGGAAGTGGATATGGACCTAGGACCTTAGGAATACACATGTTCATCTACAATCATGGCCTGGCATAGCCTAACATCTGTATGTATGTATATATATATATTCTGCCATAGAAGTATAAGCATTATAGTTAACTTTGGGATCCCTGTGCTTTATGATCTTTTGGTTTTGTGCCATTCATAATGATTTCTTTGGAATCAAGGTTTGTTGACCCGGGTATGTAGGGAGGGACCATCGATTGTTTGGAAACCAATGGAAATTGAATAAAATGGAAGGGCCGTCGTTCTTGAGTTGTGGCTTGGAACCACTCGATTCCTGAACTTACTCTTGAGAGTGAAGGAAGGTCAGATTGAGGTAACTGCCCATCCACTGACTGCTTATGTGGCTTATGTCTTCGTAAAGCATGAACCGTACACTGTCTCATCAGTCATCAGTGACCCATTCTGGCTGGTTTTCAGGATGGTGACCGTGACTCCGTTGAACGCAGCGAGCGATGAGGATCAGGCAGATTCCGCTGTTGATGCGCCTTGCTTGGGAGAGAGGGGTCCTTGCTTCTGTCAGAGAAGCTCTCAGAGAGACCAGAGTAGGGTTATACTCCGACTCACTAAAATGCAAGTGGACGGCATGTTCCCTCCGATGATCGTGAACTCGTGATGACAGTTGTTTTCACTCCACTTCCATGTGATGTGGTCAGAGCGGGAGTGGACATGCTGGAGACATTCATGCTGAAAGACAATGCTAAAAGACCTGAGGTGAGTGAGATGTTGGCATCCATGGTAGTGGTCCAGGAGAATTTGGCTGCCCTCCGAAGCCGCACGGCACCTGGGCAGCAGGGTTTGAGCACATCCAGACCTGGCCCAGGCCTCGAACGGCCAGCAGACTCATTAGTCCAGTATGACTTGGCAGGAACCGCGCAGGGCGTTGACCAATACTTATTTTGTATATAGACTCTAGACATAATTAGACATAGACATAGATATTTCATGATAGTTCAAGTGTCCTGTTCTGGCGATGGTGAGGGGTTTCCAAGTTTGGACGTTTGGCATGTTTATCGGGAGCTGGGAATGTTGTCACTGGGACCGCGGAATTGGCACAAGTCGGGGTATGAGCTTTGAGTGACGAAGACCTCCTGAGTGTGGTTTGTTGGCCCTGTATAAATACCACCTAACCGCCTTTTGTATGGGTATAGTCAGAGTGTATCGAATAATGATGAACTTGTTTTCCAACCCCCAAACCAACCAGTAGAGTGATTAGTGGCGAGAGATGACATGATGCCCACAACAGACGACTCTGAGGTGATGCAAATGTTGACAGAGCGGAGCATGCTCCAAGACGAAGTTTCAGATCGCGGCTTGGTGGCAGCTGGACTCTGCATGTTTCCTCTTGGGGTAGTTGTTGATATACAGCCGTCCCCACTGGACCCAGTAGTGACAATAGCTTGCTTGTAACCGCTGACCACCAAAGACTCCCAATGCCTGATAATGTGGTTTTGGAGGGCACTGATTGTCGCTCTAAACGGTCGATTTTCTCTCTAAACCGGTGTGGCAGGAGTCGTGCTGGGCGCGAAGCAGCTGCTGACCAAATACGCGACTCTCTTGCGATGGAGGTCACAACCAAAAGTAGCAAAGCCTGGCCAAGCCCCAGAGATTCACCTAGCCCTTTGAGGTTGGGTGGTAGTTGGGGATGCTTTTTGTTTGGTTTCTAGAAGCTCCAGCTATCTTCTGGGGGCCTCAAGAAGGTACCATGCAAGCCCCTATAGTGGTTTTGGTGATCCGCCACTGGAAGGTTCAATTGCCTCGTCACTGGAAGGTTCAATTGCCTTTGGGGTTAACTTAACCCCAAATAGGAGGCTATTATTGTCCATGAGTATCATTATCATGATATATTACGTTGTAAAACTTATACCGCACACATCCTTCCAACCAGTCTGTCACTTGAAGTTCATGTTTGATAATCGTCAATCTAGCTTGTCGTCGAAGACGTTAAGATGGACCCAGACAATCTGCCAGCTTCGTTGGCATGCAGGTTCAACAATGGCAGTCGGATCCAATTCGCTACTTGCAAAGTACTAACATCGAATCTCAATCCTTCCCTGAAGAGTGTACCTGAAGAAAACTGGTTTGGATCAAAAAGCACCAGTGCTTTGAAAGGTCTAGGACTGCACTCACCGCAGGTGACAGGCATAGGCGCTCCATGTGCGCACTCGTGCTTTTCAGGCCATGTGCCAGCATGTGTGGATGGAAGTTGCCTTAAAGCTGGTTGCAGTGGCCTTGGTGTCGGTTTCTTGGATGGGCCTTCCACATCAAACGCGTCGATTTGCATCTTGCGGGGCGCTTTGAATGTTCCTTTTAGCCAGTTTGCCAAACCGGATGATTGACATGACCAAGGTTGCTAGAATGATAGGGCCGGCCATGGCATGGCTGTTGAGGTTGTATCTGCCGACATTGGCGTCACTGGACTCTACTTGGCTCTGGCGCTCACGCTTGGCATGGCCGCAGTCATTGCTATGGTCCATCCTTATTCTCAGCCACAGCTGAATGATGTGCAGTGCCTGTGCTTTGTGAGCCTCTCAGATGCAAAGACCAGAGATGCTGGGCTATTTTTGGACCACATATTGACAGGTCATTTGTAGGTTTCAGATACGCATAAGAGGTCGATGTCAAGAGAAGTCCGTGCCAACTCTTCCAAAAACCACCCACCTTCACTGACCTGGCTGCGGCAGTGCATGGCAGTGCATTGTTTCACTATTTTGTACCAAGTACGGCAGGCCTGGCCTTGTCCGCTGCTGGCTTCCACTATGGCGTGCCCTGGATCTCGCGCCTGGGCCTTGGAGCGCCCTTCTTGCTTTTGTCGGTGCAGGCCGGGCTTGCGCTAGCGCCCGCGGCCACGGGGACTGACAGGTTTTGCAGACATCCACGTAACAAGGCAGGTTTTGTTTTGGTACAGAGGCCATGGTGGGCATGGTGTTCACGTGTCATGCTACACATGTGTTCTTTCAAGGGAAGCATATGACAGACAGCATGTTTGCGTTTGCTGTGCCTGTTGCCCTTTTATGCAGAGACAAGAGGTTCTGGGCGTGTGCGATTTGCGTCATCATGGCCTGACTACAAGGCCATCTTCTCCGTGTCCGTGATGCGGTCGGATAACTTCAGATCTTGCATGAACTCTTCAGATGTCCACTTGTCTTTTGCTGCCCAAAGAGGTCAGTACCGGGCTTTGCTTGGTATGTGCAAAACCATCTGACCAGATCTAAGCTAGTTGCCAAGTGCTTGCTCGAGACTCTATCACCCTTGATAGGTCTTCAAGCCGGACAGCGTGGAAGCCTTAGCTTTGCGCCTCTACGAGGAGTGATTTCGCAAGTAAATGTTTGAGCGTGACGGTCGAATGTAATTGAAAGAAGGGTGCCAAAACCATGAACATCGAGGTGCCAAAACCATCTGACCCCAACCTGCTAGAATTGTGAATCAGTTGAATCATCCGATGTGCTGCGATGCTTTGGCAGGAGTTGAAACACCAGTCGACCGCTTTGCAGCGTGGGCAGCCTGCAGTTGTCTCGGTGTCACTGCGGAAGTTCTTCTGAGTCAAACTCCTCGCCGTTCCGAAGTAACATGAGTTGCCGCGAAACTGCAGTGCAGTTGACCGATGCATTTGGGTGCAAACCGAAAGGCTTGAAAGAGAATTGCGTTCCGGAAAGCTAACAGTACGAATTTGTGCGGAATGACAGGTTTGAGGCACTAGGTTTTCACGGGTTGGGCTTTCCTCTCGTTTTTTGAAAGTCGTTCATTGACCTCGTGCGCTGGGGTTGTAACCAATCATGAACCACCACGGGGATTGGAGAGGCTTCTTGGGTCTCAACTACCCGCGTTAGCAGAGCTTGTAAGTTTGATCAGCAATGGGTGGTGGACCTTATTGGGGGTGAAGCTGAATGGTGTTCTGGCACAGGGTTGAGGGGAGGTTGCGATCTCACAAGGATGCCCTGTGGTAAAAGACGTTTGGCTGCATTTTACTAAGGCTTTCCAGGATTTTTTTCAGTGGTCCTTCTAGTTAAACACCAAGATAGACAAAGGACAACCTCCAAGGAGCATTTTGAAACCTTTTCATTCACATTCTGTTGCATAAGTGAAACTCCTGCAAATCCTCCAAGAAACATCCAGTCCTGCACGTATACACGGAGCAACTCCTTTGGTAGGACCGGTCCATCCGCGCTTTTAGACATCAAACTGGCCGGGCTGCCAGAATCGCCCCAACTGGTCGCTGCCAGAACTCGTCCGCGCCAGACTCGACTCTCTCGCAGGCCTTTCGAGCTTCGAGTGCTGCGACAGGACTTTATCCATGCGTTGGCTGGGCTGCCCAGGTCAGAGCGTCAGTGAGGCAGTGGGTGGTGCAGCAGCGCCGGAGGTTGGTGCTTGGTGCTGGGCTGTTTGGGTCATGTGCTGAACAGTTTTGCAAGTTTCTAGTTGACATTCGGATCTCTTAAGCAACATTGTACCTTTGTGCAGCTAGGGCAGCCAGCGTGTATGATCAACCCTTACAAACCAAGTGGACCCGGCAGAATGCGCCATCGTCGCGTCTCAGGTGGTTTGGTTTGATGTTCACTTTGACGCTTCGGCCACTGTGCGGGATGCCCGTGGCAACGGATGCGAGCGAGGAATCTGCTGGTGGTTTGGGACGATTTTTCGTTGGCACAAGAAATGCATGAAGAGCTGGAATATGCTGAAATACATTGAAAACACGATTTGAGCAGCTACTGGTAGTTGGGCCTCCACGCCTAATCACAACAAAGTTCATCAAATACCTCTAAGGGATTCTGAGGGTATATAAAGTTTACCGGTCTGCTGGCGTGGTTAAAGAGGGAATGGTAGAGAGAGAGAGAGCATATGTCTTTGCAGGACTATAGGGTCTGTAATGGTCTATAGCTTGGGGATAACCTCAATTGCCACTTCAACCCATAGAGGGCAGGTTTCTACCAGGTGAACTTATTCCAAGCCGCGGTTTGTCAATCGTTTCACCCGAAATCAGGCCACGGTGCTCACCACTGCCCCGGGCATGCCAGACACACATTGGAAGCAGACGGTGCGCTGGCAGCATGGGGCGGGAGCTGGTGAGTAGGGACTATTGATTGGAGGAACCTTGAAACCAGTGTTTTTTTTTCTACAGTAGTTAGTGTGATTTCTGATGTCAGTGATATTTTTTGGTTCTTGACGTGATTTAACCCCGATGGATCAGGGGTTATTGAGTGAGTTATGATGGTTAGTGCACTAATTTAACACAATAATTGATAATTGCTCAGAATGTCTCTTACATTTGCTCGAAAATGTTTGGACAGTTGAAGAAAAAGTGCCAGATTGACAAATTAAATGTATTTTATATGCCAAAGAATAAGAACTACAACCCTGATCAGTTCTTCCTGGGAGAAACCATGCTCCCCAGATGCCCCAGCAAGGTCTCATCAACCATTGAATTATCGCAATTTGTTTTGCTTGTTGGGGCCAGAACCTGACGTTTATATATATATATATTATCTATCTTGTGGATCAAAGCTCTGGCAGATTGAGATGAAACAGCAGAATGGTCGGCAATGAGGACTGAATTATTTTGGTGCCACTTGGTCAATATCTCCTTGTTTAGGGATGTTTCCGGAAGCAAAGATGGTTGACGAGGGGAAGTTCCCATACAAATAAAGACATCCTACAGGCCCTTTCAACCGATAAGCTCGCAAGTGGTTTCGGACTGACAAACAGCAGAAGCCATGGCAGCATCCCATGAAGGCGACCTTCCAAAGGGATCATTCTCTTGGCCAGAACATGCAAACCCAATAACTGGTTGTGAGTGAAGTACAGAGACCATATATATATATATGTATATAATATGTATATAATATATATGTGTATGGTTTCATATGGTTTCATTGGGCTACAACCAAGAATCAAAAACAATGAACTTAAAAGAATGAGAACTGCCTATCCTATCTCTGAATGTCCATATGTCCACCATTCTAGATGGGGGTCCAAACAAACGAAAAGTAAGCAATGTTTCAAGTACTCACGTGATATTCATGATTTACAACGCCGCAAGTGGTAGTTCTGGCAGACCACATCTGCTCCGCTTGGGTCGGCAGGTCCTCTACTTGGCCGAGCCGGGACGTCCAGTGCTGGAGGAAAGGGTTGGTTCAGTTCCTGAAGGTCTACACACTGGTTGATGTGTCAACCACCAAGTCCACTATGGAGCCACACACTGGTTGATGTGTTTTCCAGTCACCCAGGGTCGCCTTTCCTCCCCATTACATCACATAGACTAGCCAGTAGAGTATGTACGGTGATATTCTGGATTTCTACCCATGATCTACCAAAGTCACATATCTTGCCGCAAGAGCGAGCTTCCTTCGGAAGAAACACAAACAAACTCTTGGGCCTATAAAGGATCCCTTTCTCTCCCTCTCAGGCTTCGGTATTTTGGTGCGTGTCATGTCCTGTACTGGAGCTTTGATTTGGTTCGCCCAAAAGGTACCCCAAGTTGTGCTTCGTGATGCGTCGTGAGAGACATCAACCAAGTGCTTTTCGGGGCCGAGGCCCTTGGTGGTCTTCGAGGACGACCTCCTTATCGGCAGGACGGAGCAAAGTGGGGATGGTCGGATGGTCAAGCCAAAAACCTGTGGGTTTGGTGTCTACTTTACAACCCCTAGGCCTCCCAGTACCTTCTGAGGAGGTGGGACTGGGGTGGGTGCCAGGAGGCTCCAAATTCCTTCTGAGGAGGTACTTGGAGGTGTAGGGAACCGATGCCTATCTACGGTATCTTTCAGAAAGTGGAGAATAAAGAATGTCCGGCTTGGTGTCAATTGATCCAGTCTGACCTGAAAACCGATCCTTCGAGAGAGAGAGAGGGAGCGACGTTCCGGGCTGTTGCCTTACACGATCAAGGCGATCAGAAGCAACAAACAAGCCATTGATGTGTCACAACGTACTCCGGCTACTACCGAAGTGGCAGAGTTGTACCATCTTCCGCAAACTCAATGCCCTTGCGCAGTATGAGCGATGGTTCTGCTCAGCACCACATCAGCTCCCATGTCAGTTAACATACGTCAACCAGCTTCATCACAAATTGGCATACCATACCAAGCATACCAAACAAATTATCGTTATCACTCACTCATTGGGGATACATTTTACTTTTTTGTTTGCAAGGCTTCAATCCCAGCCTCATACCACTTTCCATCCTTTTCCATCCACCAGTCACCCCGTCGTTTCGGCTTCCACATACCAACACCACCCCGCCCAAACACCGCCCCAGCGTAGGATCGCCGTGCGGAAGAATTCCGCCAACTTTCGAGACCTGGACGTGAAGCTCTCCTACCGGCGCGGCTGGGATGGTCGAGGATGGATGGTCGATGGTTTAATCGGAAGTCGGAGGCCGTGAAGAAGGTATTGCCGTGAAGTCGTTGTGTCGGTTTTGGAGCCCTAGGAATCCAAGTACATTGTCAGAAGGTGATTGGAGACACTGTTATGTAGGTTTGGAGGGACCAAGTACCTTCTGACAAAGTGGCAGTGGATCCCTAGGGGAGGCTGAATGTCGGTGCCGGGTGCTTGTAGCTGTCGAGCCACAGAGACTCTGTCAGGTGTTGAATTTTCTCCTGACTGGATGAGCTTGGAGATCTTGGAGTTGGGTGTGTGGTGTGTTGTTTTGGTTTGGAAGTGTGGGTGAATCTTGGTGTTACAAGCCTTGTGGGCATCTTACACCTCGGGAATCAGCGAACATGAAAACTCCATTTTAAAGATGGTGACAACGGGCTATTGGCCCCACTACTTTCACGGGCATGTTGCTGGCACATCATCTTGGTTGCACTGGCATATATGCAAATCCGTGCTGGTGATGGAGCGATTGTGTGCTTGCAGTTTTGCTCCACTGTCCTCCCTCAAACCTCTCAATTTGATCATGAGTTGCTCAAGTCACTGGAGAAACACCCGATGGTGACTCGAGAACGCATGCACACCGATGGTGTTTCCGGGGCCCAGGGAATCGCTGGGCCCAGCGAATCGGGCGCGACAGATTGGTGACAGCCTGTGACAAGGGAATCTCTCTGAATTGAGGCGGTTTCCTCCCCGTACCCCACCGTCATGACCAAGCCTTCCCAAACGGACAAATCCAACCTGAGAATCCCAGCTTATATATGGTTAAAGTATTATGTAGTCCAATATATTCCTTTGGCCTTCAACAGGCCCCCCCCACCCGGTGCCGCAGGTTGCAAGGCCAGCGCCCCCAGCCGGAACGCGTTCAAGGCTTTCGGATCAGGCGGATGTCGCGTCATGTCACGGGATTCGGGACGGACATGGGTGCGGTTTGGAGCGAGCTGACATGAAGAAGTGCTTGGATGAGCTTGGACCGGTTTGGATGAGCTTGGTCTGAGCTGTAAACCAGGGGGGCCCACCTGAACATGAGCAACTTGGCATGGCAAAGTTGTCCATTGATCCGTGGAAGGTGACGAACTTTTAAACAACTATATATAAAAATTCATCATAGCTATCGGATCACTACATCAGAACTGCGATACCTGGCTGTTTAGAGTGAGGTCCAAAGAAAAGAAACAAGATGTACTGCATGTTGATGTTCAGGGTCCGTTGGTGTTCAGCATGGGGTCATTCGACTGTGGCAATGTCCCAGTAGACCCAGGAGCACAAGTGTTTGTTCTGGATCAAATTGATGTGCAACGGCTGGTTGTACCAGCACTCCGTCAGTGGAAAACCATTCTACATGCAGTAGTTTCTACGAGTTGGAAATGCTACGGCTAGTACTTCGTACATCTTCGTACCATTCTGGAACATTCCCAGGTTAGTGTGCCATCGTAGAAACCGTTGACACGGTTTGCTCATCAAGGTCCGATCCCGTTCATCGCCGGAGCAGGTGAGGCTGCCGACGCTCCGCGACTCGACCTCGAAAAAGACCGGTGAAGACGCATCAAAAAGCACGTGGAGGGAGGACACAGTTGTTCTCGCAATATTGTGTAAACAGAGGTGTGTGTGTGTGTGTGTTTTCCTTTGCATTGGTGGCCACTTGAGATTGCTTAGACAACCACAAGGCCCATATGTCTTTTGAGAACTCATGAGCAAAGCCCAACATAGCCTTCAGTGGTCGAAGGTAGATGATCCTTTTCTGTACAAGCATTGGCAGCATTGTACCACAAAAATCAAGCTACCTTTAAGCATCTTCAATCCTTGTGGTTCAATAAATTTGGCATGTGTTGTTCATTTTTTGGTGAACTTTCTTCAAGCAAGTTCCAAGAGATTGGGGGAAAAACGGGGCGCAACACGTCCCGGCAGACCCAA